ATCAACCATTACGCGTCCATAACTAATTCTAGCGTGTCGCCTGTTCTCTCCGACCCAGCGTGCCCGGGCTGCTGGCCACAGCCCGCGCGGTGCGAAAAAGGGCCCGGATCGCTCCCGGCCTGCACAACAGGGATTGACTAATTAAGTCAAATAGACTCTGAAAGGAACTAAAATATAGAAATATGAAAAAGGATGCAGCTGCAAATACAGCACAGTCAGGGTCTTCCATCAGAAATGTTAACCTCAGTGTTTTTGCATCTCACAACCTCTGATGCCTAATTAGTCTTTTTAATGACCTTTTCTTTATTTACTCTCTTTAGACTTTTATGTTATCACTGCTCATTTGCTTGCACATGCATGCTCTCTCTCTCTCTCTGTCACTCACACACATACACACACACACAGAGTAATCTTGTCCAAATGACACCTTTTAATATTGCACAGATTACATATTTTCCAACCTGACCTCCATTTCACTTTCATGACAGTTACTCTTCAAAATACATTTTCTTTATCTCAGGACTAAAGAGTTTAACGATTTCTATATCTTGTTAATTACAAATTTTCCTTCTTGTTCCTGAATATAAAAACATCATGTAAGAAAAAAAAAACCCTTAAATTTTGGTTTACAAAAATGTCAACACAGATTAGGTAATCTAGACTGGCATGATATATACCGCATTTGCTCGAATATAAGACAAGGTTTTTTTCCTCCAGTCAGCAAGGGGAGAAAATGTCTTCATCTTACATTTACATACAAGGAAACCTCATGTCCTCAGAAATGGAAATGAACTATGACATTGATTAAATGAAGTTAACACTGAGAATGAATATGAAGCACATTCATATGGGACAAACATGCTTATGTGAAGCTACCACAAGACTAGGTTAATATAGCTCAGCTGGATAAGATACATGGTAGTACCCATTGTTCTCAGTCCCCCTTAGTACTGACTCTTTTTTAAAGTCATGGTGAGCTACACTCAATATACTTCACTACACTGAATGCATTTCAACTTCCTCTTCACTCCCACAGTTGAGTAATGTCTTTCTTTCCCATTTCCAGTGATTCCTATTTCTTCATGAGCCTAAATGTCTGGCAAATATCAGCAACTGAGACACAAAACAGTTCACACAGAATTCCTCTGTCACCCCCTCTCTCAATATGTTACATATGATTAGTGTGAGTGCCCTCCATGAGGTGGGGCTGACCAAGTTGCCTTGCACCTCATCTGCATATAATTTGTGGATGATCCCAGGTTTTGTGACAAGAACACCCAGGGCATAAGTAGTACATGAATCCTTTGTTGGGTGGGTATCTGGAAAATACACATATACTGAGCACTGCTGATCTATGGCATCACCATGGCTTGAAATGCCTGGCCCAATTAATTCTATGGTAAATCATGAACCTTTTGGCCTTAATATTAATTGTGTATATTTTGTACCATATGTAACTAGGCACAGAAGTGGTGCTTAAAAGGGGTATGTATGGTGTACCTGTGCTAAAACTTGCATCAGTTTCAAAAAAAGATAAAATGCATCAGTTCTGGATGAATGAAGTCTATGGGTACCCAAATTACTACAGGTATGTTTATTTCAAAGTCAGTGTTTTCAAATTTGACCATCACTTCCATGTGTTCAATGACAGCAGGGTCTGACAGTAAGTAGAAAGAGAAAGGGCTCAGAAAGATGTTTGGGTGTTGGGGAGAGGGTAAAGAGGGCACCTGACCTTCCAGCTTTATTTTCCTGCTGTGGTAGTGAGATGTGGACAAATAAAAAGCAAACCTCCAATGGATAAATGCTATACCTTTGAAAATATAATTAATTTATAATTTTTCCATGTATAGAATCTAATTTTTAGGTGGTCATCTTATATTCAGGATCATCTTATATTTGAGTAAATGTGGTAACATAAAAAGGCTACTTAGAGTGGATGTTTTTACTTTTTTTTTTTTAAGGAGTATCCTTTCTATTTTCTTTGATTCCTACAGATCTTCATTTGGTAAATACCTTGGCTAAAAATAATTGGTGCATTAATTGGTGCTGCATTAATTGGTGCTGCATCCCTTACTCATTTCTCCATGTTTTTTCTGAACTAATGGTGCTTTTTACAGTTTGTGAATTGTGAAAAACAATTTGTCAATTGGACCAACAGTCATCATTTTTACTGTAAAATTTGCTTATTTAGAAATGTTCAGCTTACCTGTGGATACTACTTCAAAGATCAGCATAAACCTGATAGCATTTTTTCATGTGTACTTTATATGGCTTACCATTTTTTCAGTGGAAAAGCTTGGGGATAGCAAAGGAATGTTTGTGCACACTTGCACATATATATGAACATCATATTGTAGAGGAAAAAGCCTGTTTGAACAGGAATATCTGTGTATAGAGGATGCAGGCCAAAATAAGATGAAAAGTTAACCTAAAGGAAGAATGGAGGTGTGACCCATATTATGTAGAGGCAGATTCTTGATAGGCTCCTCAGCTATATGGATTGGGGGTGGGGGGGCAATAAGAGATCAGGAAAAGAACAGGAGAAGCTAGGGGTGAACATGAATCCAAGTTAGTTCAGATATGATTTACTCCCAATAACCTAACCAACAAACTTTACCTGCCTATATAGCAGCTAAAAATGGATTTTACACATGCCCACTCTAGAATCATTATTGCTTTGGACAGTGGTTTGGGGGTCAACACAGACTTTACTCCAAAATAGCAGCATCTCAAGCCGGTCCAGAGAGGTGATACTCCCCCTCTACGCAACATTGGTCTGGCCTCAATTGGAGTACTGCATCCAGTTCTGGGCACTGCACTTTAAGAAGGATGTGGCCTGCCTTGAGAGGGTCCAGAGGAGGGCCACCTGTTTGGTTGGAGGGCAACAGGGCAGGCCCTATGAGGAGATGCTGAGAGACCTGAACCTGTTCAGCCTCAGCAAACGGAGGCTGAGGGGGGACATGGTGGCTGCCTACAAATTTGGTAGGGGAGATCAGCAGCAAATAGGAAGGGTCCTATTCCCCCCAGCAGCACCTGGGGTGATGAGGAACAATGGCCAGAAGCTGTAGAGAATAGGTTCAGGTTAGAGATTGGGAGGCACTATTTCACTGTCAGGGTGGCTAGGATCTGAAACTAACTTCCTAGGGAATTGGTCCTTGCTCCTACCTTGGGTAAATTAAAAAAGAGGTTGGATGAACACCTGCCTGGGGTCAGGTGATCCCAGCGTGTGCTCTAGCCAGTGGCGGGGGGTTAGACTAGATGATCTATTTAGGTCCCTTCTGACCTCAAACTACTATGAAACTATGAAAAAGAGTCTAATTAAAATTAATGTAACAGCAATTTACAGTAATTGAGAATCTAACCAAATCTTTTTTTTTCCTTTACATTTTTCCTATTACAATGTATTTTCTTTTTAAGTAATAATTAACTGGAAGCAACAGAAATTCAAGAATTATTCAGTATTGTCTTTTCAGTGTAGTTATAGTCAGTAAAATCACTGCATAAATGACAACTCGGTTTTTCATAATTCTCATAGTCCGTGGCTTTCAAATTGATGAGTTTGCAAATTATAATGAAATCTTTCTAACCTCTTACTGTGCTAACTAAATCCACATGTCTAAAAAAAATTAAGCAATGTTCTTTCTGCTTTGTGCATCAGCGACAGCTACTGCCAAGTAGAAACATTCAGAAATCAGAACTTGGTGGGTAATTTTGTTATTGCAGCAGTAGGTAGAAAAAAATCCAGGTCAATATTCTACAGCAGCAATGAGTGGTTCTGGCAGTTCTGTCCACATTTATGGTATTATATATTTGGAAGGACACACTGACTAAAGGTCAAAATGATCAAAATATGCTTTTTTTTAACCAGTAGTAATTTTAACCAATTCCTTCACACATTCTGGCCAAGATTTTAAAAAATAGTTACAAAGTTTTAGGCTTCTAAACCCATATCTTGAAACAAAAATAAGTGCACCAGTTTTTTAAATATGATGATCATACATTAACTTCCATGATTCACTTATGTAAATATGTTTTCAGCTTTATCTCCAATACTTCATGTCATATTTTAGCATGAGGATAGTCTCTCTCTTTGCTATACAAATATATATATGTATATATATATTTATTATTTCTCTTTGCTTATACCTGTGGATACTACTTTAAAGATCAGCATAAACCTGATAGCATTTTTTCATGTATACTTTATATGGCTGACCATTTTTCAGTGGAAGAGCTGACCAAAAGCCAATATGTAACAGTCATCAGTGCATACACCCTGACCCTTGATATAGGTGAGAAAACAAAAGAATTCTATTCTAAACTCAACCAAGTCCTGTCATCTGCCCCCAAAGAAGTACGATAATTCTTTTGGGGAATTTCAGTGCTAAAATAGGCAAAGAATCTGAGCTATGGAAAAGAACACTTCAAAAGGAAAGGGTGGGAAAGTCAATTCAAATGGAATTTGCCCAGATCAAGGCCATGTTGGCATCAGTGTTCAATCAGTTGTCAGACTAATATATGAAAAATCAACTAGATGCTAGTCTAAATAAAACACAGCTTAGTTTTTTCCACCTTTGGAACATAGATACTAGCAAGTTCCTCAGCCTAACCTGAAATGGAATAGCTCTCACCTACTGCCCAAATCCTATCTACTCAGGAGTGACGCTAGACCATACACTTTCATATAAAACACATATACAAAAGACAAAGCGAAAAGTTAGTTCCTCGAACAACATATTAAAGAAGTGTGTCAACTCCCAGTGCAGGACCATCCAGCAATGTTACAAATTACTGCACTTGCACTTTGTTATTTGACAACTGAATTTGCATGCACAGTTTGTGAAAGATTGGCACACGCAAAGAAGCTAGATACTATGCTGAACTAAAGTTGCAGATGCATTACTGCCTGCCTTAAACCAACAGTTGTCAATAGTCTCTACTAACTTGCTAGAGTCACCCCACCAGACATCAGGAGAGCAGTAACAAATAAAATAATATACCTGGAAGATCAACGATGAGATGCATCCACTGCATGGCCACATTGTGGTTCCTAATAGATGAAAATAATAGAAAAGTTTCCTTGTTACAACAAAGCCACTGGATGAAACACTGACAACCACATGAATAAAAATGTGGCAGTCAGAACTAGATATGATGCAGGAGGGAGTTAGGGTATATATTAAAACTTCCAAAAATCTCCCTGCAGATGCAGAGCTTGATTGGTCAACAGGTAGAAGATTGAACCACCTCCAAAAGGGGAACACTAAAACTAAGGTTAACGTGCAACTGTGAGGACACTAACGATGCAAACACTGTGTGTGAATGTGGAGGAAAATTTCAGGCTATATAACACCTATGGGAATGTCCACATATGGAAGAACTGTGCACCAAAGAGGACCTTGCTAAGTCTACAGGTCAAGCAATAACACAATAATATACGTTCATTTTTGGACTCAAATTTGAATGTGCTAATAGGATATGAGAAAAATAAGAAGAATTGAATTCTTCTCCTGAGCAAGCATTTGGAACATGATTTTGTCATCACAAACTCCTCATTCTGTCAAAGTAACAAATGGAAGACATCATAGATGCAAACCCATTCAAAACACTGGCACCTGATTGATTACATCATAACATGTGCTTGGGATCTTCATGACACGATACATATCTCACCAGATTTAGGAGCACTTTGGGGTCTGCTGGATGCATCATCGATTGATATATTCCATCTTATCTATTCATTTTACCACATAACATAAACAAAACAAGGAACCAAGGAAGAGATTCAATGTTAAGTGCTTGAAAGACCCTGCTAAAAACAATTATCTCTAGCAGTGCCTCAGTGAGAAGCTCTCTAACCTCCTTGATGATCTTGATAGTCTTGATCATTAGGAGAGCTTCAGGAAAGGTATCCATGAGGTGTGTGAAGAATCTCTGGACTTCTCCACACAGAAATATTATGACTGGTTTGACGAGAATCACTGACAGAAAAAGGAAAGCTTTCGAAGCTGGGCAAAAGTATATCAAAGCCAAACAGAAGCAAGATATTTATTGCTACATTAAAGGTGAGAGACAGCGGGAAATTCAAAAGGGAAAGAACAAATGGTGGGAGAACAAAACAAAAGAAATTAAAACATTTGTTGACAGCCACAACATGCATAGTTCCTTCAGTGCAATCAAAGCTATCTAATGGACAAGCACACAAGGATGCCTGACAACCAGCTCCCAAAATAGGTCCTGTACTACCAACTCATTCACAGTCTCTATTCTAGGGATCGGCAAAAGAAGAAATTAAAGAACCTCTTGAAGGTCAATATGGAGAAATGAAATATTAACATCAATACCTGGGAAATTCAAGCACTGAATAGTCTTCAGTGATGCCATGATATATGACAAATCATCTATTATTTTGAGCAAACTTTCCTCACTATGGGGGCTGATAGATGAGAGGGACAAAAGGAATGATCTGTGACCCAGCATCACCAGGATCTTCTCCATATCCTAGAACTATTTGCCAGATCTGAAGTCATACATGTGGATATTGATCAGCCCCTTCAGTCATCTATGGACTCACCAGCAACTTCCCTATTTAATGAAAAACCATCATCCTTGTATCAAAGAATGCCCACCAGCACTAACAAGAAATCACATAACTTTTATTACTCTTTACTTTTCCTCAAATTATGTTTGGGTGGTAGCAGGGAGGAGATTAAAATATTTCATTTTCCATATAGGAGAATCCTGACATCTTTCAAATACTGCATTTACTCAAATGTAAGATGTCCCTCATTTTAAGATGACTTCCTAATAATGGGATTTTATATATGGAATAATTATGAATTTGTTATTATTTTCCAGGTATAGAATCTAAGTATTGGAGGTTTTTCTTGAATTTGTCAACTTCCCACTGCTACAGCAGGGAAAATTAATTTGGGGAGTCAGGTGGCACCTTCATCCTCTGTACCCCCCCACCAACTTCTCCTTGCAGCCTCTTCCCTCCTCTTTAATGTCAGACCCTGTTCTCCCTGAGCGCATGGATGCAAAGAACACATTTGAGAATACTTTTTTTTAAATAAACACAGCTGTAGCATTTGGCATATAATATTTATAGACTTAGTTCACCCAGAAATAGTGCATTTTACCTTTTTTGAAACTGTCCAAGTTTCAAAATACACTGAGGCCACAGAGAGATGTTTGCATGGTTCTAGGGCAGTACTATTCCTGTACTAAGGGCACTTGTGCGCACTCAGTGTGTAACAGAACTGCTCCTACATTTACAAAAAATGTGTCTTAGAAAATGAATAGGTTTCATCTTCTGGGTTCTCCATTTTCCAAAGTTAATTGAAGGATCCATCACCAAGAGGGTAAGAGCAAGTGATGATAAGTCAGAAATGAAGATTCCACTTAGTATGAGGACCTCTTAAACTTGATACATATTAGATTCCTAGATTTTAATGCCAGAAGGGAGCATTGTGATCATTCAGTCTGACTGCAGCATCAAGTGTGGTACAGAGCATAGAATTTTACCTATCTCAGGCCCATGCCTTATAGTAGAACTGAAGCATCTCTTTTAGAAAGACATCCAAACCACTTTGGATTTAAAGACTCCAAGTTACAAGGAGTCCATCATACCTTCATCATAGTCCTAAACATTTGCAACTTATATATACCTTATCTACATTTGTCTAGGATCATCATCCAATCATAGTACAGGGCTTCTTGGTGTACAAAGCACAATAAAATACTATCAGAAATGCGCTCTTTGCCTCAGTACTTCCAGGCTATACTCAATTTAACGCAAGTGCCACAATGTTCACTGAAGTTTTGATATATGTACTCTGAAAGAATTTGAGAGTATTGTCATAACACAAAGGTATGATTTTGTGTGTGCTTCAGCACTAGAATTATTCCCGCTAAATTGCAGCTTCATTGCACGGTGGAGTTTTCTGCTGCAGAGGAGAACCCCGGTGCAAGGGAGAATTTCCCGCCAATTTGTAGCTTTATTTGCAGGGTGCATTTCTCAAGTTGCAAGAGAAATGCACGGTGCAAAGGAGTTCCCACCACCTGCATGCAAATTTGTTCCCCGCTATTGGCTAGTTCTAAATTATTCCCACGTGGCGGCTAACGATTGGCCTGCTAGCCGTATAAGAGGCTTGAGCGGTTTCCGCCCCAGCCGAAGAGGGATCCACCCTTTCCGCCCAAGCCGAAGAGGACTCCACATCCATCTCGTGGGGACGCTGGGTACACGGTAGGGTAATAGAAACCCTGTGTGAGATTCAGAGGAGTTTGGCGACCAGATCCATCGCCCACCTCTTTCCGTCTTCGAGCGATAATTTTTATAAGACGTATCTACAATGTTTCTATTTCAGTGGCGCACTTGTCCAGGGTATCCGGAGCTCTGTTTCCGTGGAGCCTAGCAAACTCCACATGGTCGTTTGTGTTGTTTTGTCTGTAACCGCAACTCAAGCAAGTTTTCCAGCCTGCACCGCAAGCATCTTCGGTGTAAGTAAACAATCTTTAAATCTACCATTATGAGTCCGTGCCTAATTCTAGCGTGTCGCGCGTTCTCTCCGACCCCGTGTGCCCGGGCTGCTGGCCACAGCCCGCGCAGCGCAAAAAAGGGCCCGGCTCACCCCCGGCCCGCACAAGTATCAGTTCTAAGGTCCTATTAGTTGCTTTGTTCATGGGTTAAAGGAAAAAGAAATGAAGTCATGACCTTATGACTTGCTACAGATATTGTTGTTTTTATTATTTAGAACAGAATTATCCATTCTTATAATCCATGTAGTGTTGCCTTATTGTTGCCAGTGTTCACAGAAAACGGTTAGCCTGTATAAATCAACACACTAAACTTACAGTCTATCCATTGTCAAATGTTCCCTAGGATAATTTATCTCTAGGTTTTTTGCCTCAAAAACCCTGCAGGCAGTATGGGACATAGTTAAAAGTTCAATAAATTTTAAACATTCTAATCTGCACTTGGCTCTGTTCATCATCAGATTTGAAGAGGAGAACGATGACAGCTTCTTTGGGTGACAGAAGCTTGTGTAAGAGCCAGGAATTTGAACCTAGTTTCAATAATGTAATGTGAGTTGGGTGAGCAGGGTCCATGTCACTTAAGGGAAGAGGCAATGGAAGTGTAGGTGGGAGAGGGTACCTCTTGCTGGAGATGCTGCTTACCTTATTTCTGCCTATCTTCTGCCTGCTGTACTGTCTCCTGCTATTGTACACATTGCTGGTATGAGCAATAGGCCTTTTTTTGCTGCCAAATTCAGCTTTTTAATTTTGTAATTTTTTTCCCTATTGGATACGGTCAACAGTGGCAAAAAATGGAGTGCAAGTTCCCCTTCTGGCAGCAGTAAAGTCCATTGCTAATCTGGGGAACTGTGGGCACCTATATACATGATGGAGCTCTGCTCTGATGTGTAGTAAATAGCATGCATCAGAGAAGACTTGATTAATCGAGTCTGCTAAAAGTCTGCTAGTGTGCGCTAATTAGCACACTCCTGCAGCATCCACATCACATGTATTCAGCATCCCCGCATTTCAAGATGGCAGTGGAGGCACTTTAACTAAAGCTTGTTGAATGAGCTTTAAAGCACCCCTGCTGCCATTTTGAAGCGCAGGATGTTGAACACACATGATTCTGTGGGTGCTTTAATTAGAGTGGCTCTGAGAGGCTCCCCCTACACCCCAGATGCCTTATGATTACTAGAACTTCTTGCACTCCATGATATTGATCAGCTTTTTCTGTATTTGCAAGCAGGAAAGCAGACAAAGAGAAGTGGTGGGGAAGAAGGGTAAGGGATGGCTGCCCCAGGAGCATTTTTTCCCGACTAAGCCTCTGTGCAATTTAATACCATAGCAAGAAAGCCCTCCATCATCTTTTAACTGCACCCACTCAAATAGCTGAATTTCAGATGTATCCAAGCTATAGGTTTTTGATGGTCACATGTAATACTTTTACACCTAGATCAGCAAAACATAATTTTAGTAATACTTATCTAAAAATAGCATGTCAAATTCCAACATCCCAATTCAGACT